CACACACACACACACACACACACACACACATACACACATACACACACACACTCTCTCTCTCTATTTCTCTCTATCTCTTTCTCTCTCTATCTCTTTCTCTTTCTCTCCCCCTCTCACTCTCTCAAACTGTTACCACTATGAATGGACTTCCAAATCACACGTTATTAATTATTTAAAAGCTGTAACTGAAAATTCCAAGCGATGTCGGGGAAACATAAATAATTCTTGGCCAGAAGAAGAGACAAGCTAAGGAGCACTTGAAATTGAGGATGTTTGTTTCAGTAAAGGTTTTACGGCGCTGGCAACTGCATAAGGTCATATGAGCACCATATTTGAGGATTTAAAAAAAATTAACGTTGACAAAAAACGGGTGGACAACTTGACAGTGAGTCTGTACCATGAAGTGGATCATCTGTCCGTCAAATGTACGGTAGTGTGGGTCGCCACTAGCACTACACTCACAGTATCCTGGGGAGATGAAGCGGGGGTGGGGGAAGGGGGGCGTGTTGTTAGTGGTGATTGAGGTAGTTCATAGGGGATAAGAGAGAGTCTGTGGGGATATTGGGATTTCAGTGAGAACAGAAGGCGTGTTAGTTTAGTTTTAGAAGGAGTTTTACGGCACTTGCAACACATTAAGGTCATATAAGTGCCGAAGATTAGAGGTGTTACTAGAGAGTAACAAACACACAAAAAAGGAGGGGGAGATAGAAACGATAGTTTTTTTGTAGGAAAGAAGGAGCAACCGCCCCCCCCCCAGAACACCCGCCAACCACCCACAGGCGTGATAGTAAAGAGGGATAGGGTGTGTGTTAGTAAAGGGATATTAGGGGCGTGTTAGGTAAGGGGAGGGGGTAGGGGGTGTCAGTCAATGGTGCAGGAGGTATTTCAGTCGGGAAATGGGCGGGGGGGGGGCGTCAGTGAGAATGTTAATGCGTCCTTGAGGACCTGTGGAATATCAATGGGGGATATGAGGTGAGTCGGTGGGAAAAGAGAGTGTGGTGATCTAGTTCTTCCACTGTTGAGGGGGATGGACCTTATATCCAGTGCCCATTGGCACGATTGGCTCGGATCGGTTCGGTTTGTTAGCCAGGTTGAGGGTGCAAAGCGGCTATCGTGGCACAAACCGATCGTCAGACTGGTTGCCTAAAAAAACAAACACGTTTGTTCTCAGGTGACGAGTCGGGTGATCGACCGGACCCGACCCGATCCCATCTGCAATGGGCACCCCCGATAAAACGTGTTTGTTTTCAGGCGACAAGTCGGTCCATCGATTGGAGATCGGTTGACGATCTGTTTGTGTGAGAGAACCGATCCCCAAAGGGCACTCCGTATAAGCAAGATATCAAGAGTGAGCAAAGACATGATGGGCACAACTCACCAGTTTCCCGACGCTCTCGTTCCTTCTGTATTTCCTCTATACAAACAAGCCAGGGTATGAGGAAGAAAAAAAAGGGTCTATGTCAGTTGTCATCACCAGCACAGACACCAGAAGACGAAGACCACCACCATCACGATCGACAAACAAGACAGTAAGAATAATTATAGCAGAAACAACACCGATAACAATAACAGCGGCAATAACAACGCCATCACCACATTACAACTATGTTGTTGTTGTTAGCGATCCAGACACCACAACTATAAAAGCAACAAATCCCAGCTATGTCAGCACTTGAACGTATGTAGAGCTAACTGTCCTCATACTCTTTTCTTCTCTCCTTCATTGTCGTCCTCCGCTTTTTCCTCCTCCACTACCACTTCCTCTTCTACTTCACCCTCTTCGTCGTTCTCCTCCTCCCCATATTCCTCCTCCTCTTTCTCCTCCTCCCCCACCACCACTTCTTCCTCTACCTACTCTTCCTCTACCTCATTCTCTTCCTCTTTCGTCTCGCAGTTACCACAGTTTCGACCGCTTCCACAAGCACTAGAGTCACACTACAAGAGCGTTACAATTTCCACACACTGGTTCCTCACAAATAATCATTTACTAAGAGAACTGTTGTAGTTAAGAGCTAGTGACCTGATTAAAAAAAAAAATCTAGAAAAGGACGTCTCCTGTTTTTCACTTGACCCCCTCAATTGTTCTATGGTGCCGTGAAACGAATACACCGGCATATCTATCTGTCTGTCTGTCTATCTATCTATCTATCTATCTATCTATCTATCTATCTATCTATCTATCTATCTATATATAGAGAGAGATAAGTCGAGCCTCTCACCTTCGATGAGTTTCTTCTTCTCCTCCTCCTCAGGGCCCTTCTTCTCCTTGCACGTTTGCCCATCGCCCTCATACCCGTCCACACAGACACACGCCCGCTGGCCGTCGTTCAAAGAGCAGGATGCGAACTCGCTACACCCAGGTGCAGGGCGAGCCACCAGCTCTGAGCGGACGCACGTGAAGATCGTTCCACAGTCACGTGACAGGAACGTCGTTCCAGTCTGACGGAGAAAAAAGGGAAGGAAACAAAAGTCTCAAGCGGATAAAGAAGACATATTTCAGTGTTTCGAGTAAGTTTTAATCATACTACTTTGTCCATAATTCGTTCCAGTTTGACTGGGAAAAAAAATCTCAAGTCGAGAAAAGAAGATATCTTTCAGAAATGCGAAGAACGTTTATACCATTTGGCCTATCAATGATAATCAAACAGTCGTTCCAGTGTGACGAGAAAAAAAAGAAGAAAAAAACAACAACAACAAAAAACCCCTCCAGGAATCTGAAGCCAAGAAAGAAGATATCTTTCAGTGTTGCGAATAAGATTTATACAATTTGGACCATATAATATTAATAGGGCAATCGAAAAGTCGTCCTAGAGTGACGGCGAAAAAACCACCAAGAATCTCAAGCCGAGACAAGATGATATGTTTCAGTAAAGCGAGTAATTAAGATTTATGCTATTTAGAATTTCGGTCTGTATGTCATTGTTCTGATAGTTAGGTGTTATCCGAAGATTGCAGGTACGCACAGGTGATCAAATGATTTGTTTGTTGGTTGTTGGTTTTTTGGAGGAAAGGGGGGTTGGGGGGGGGGATTTATTATTTCTTGTATGTATTTATTAACAGATACTGACACACCCATTGATTTGGTATTGTCTGCTTTTAAAAAAAATATTTGAACTTGAGTCTGCGTTACCTACAGAAGGCGAGAGTTTGATTAACGAGAGCAGGTCTAAATTGTGTCTATTGGGGGCGTAAAACTTCTACATTTACAACTATAATTACATTTACAATTGCATCTACATTTGTAATTACTATTATTTGTTTTCATTCATTTATTTTTTTTTTTTTAGCTGAGAAATAAGAGGAGAACCGCGCTCGCCGATTTCTGTTTCAGATCTGGCACTTTAAAGAAGAGGTTGTTGTTGTTGTTGTTGTTGTTGTTGTTGTTGTTGTTGTTGTTGTTGTTGTTGTTGTTGTTATTATTGTTGTTATTATTGTTGTTGTTGCTGTTGTTGTTTCCAAGATACTCTCCAACTCACGGGGTAATAGTTTCCAGTTTTGGGGTCCACACAGCCGCACTGGTCAGCCGGCACGCACTGGTCATCATTGAGCAGGAACCCCTCGTCACAGAGACAGCCTTCCTGGGTGTCGGTGCTGCAGGGGCCAGAGGGGTCAGGCCGGGCACAGGAGGGCGGGCAGGCGGGGACGATGTCCGAGTAGTGGGAGTTGGCGGGGCAGGAGGGGGCTGGGGAGGGAGGAGAAGGGTTAAAGAGTGTAAGGGGAGAGGGGGAAGGGAGGGTAG